CCCATGTGCTTCTTTGTTGTCAGTGGTATTCAGTGGTTTTAAAATTTTGCATAATGTTAACCTCATTTTCCATGCACTGTAATTACATATAAGTAGTTTTTTTTAATTAAATTATAAAGTGAAATCTACCCATTTCAAAATTTTAACGTGGTTGAATTTTATACTTGATCGTTCTTCTTTGTGCTCAGTTACACAAATAATATAATTAATTGTTGCATGTACTTGCAGAAATATATATTTATATACGAGCACAAAAATGCACAAACGAAAATCATGACATTGTTTTCTTTTTCATGACATTGTCAAAGAGAATTTAATATAGTCCGTTCCCTATTCATTTGATCCCGATATTTCAGGCAGAAGGAAGACATTCTCCTTCTTTTGGTCACACTTTTGTATGCATAACAATGTAAAACTGTAAGGAGCCCATTTGTGTACATAACGTTACCAAGTGAAGCAGCCTGTTTATCATTGTAATAAACGGTAAAGTAAATTATAAATAATGAACTTTTTAAATTATTTAATTACATGTATACAAAAGTAATTATCTTTTTTTCATGCACTTATAAATCTATTATATACATGTATATGAATTGTTTTATACTTAATGTGCAACTTGAACAATTAGTTGATAGGCCTATATTGATAAAGGAGACACAATATTCCTTAATATTATTTCTATAATTTATTCCAAGCTGTCTGATTGGCTCAAACTTGATCACATGATTAAATATATAATAGCATAAAAACTTGAGTTTATAATAAATTGGAGATATAATTTTTCTGTAAAACAAATAATGTAAAACGAGAATATTTGGCCCACTTCTAATTTTAGCGCCTTTGGCGCAAGAGCCCCTGAACGCTAAAATTTATTGTGCGCTGAAAGATTTCAAAATATTTTTTTGTGTGTGTTAGAAGACTTTTACATAAGTACATGTACACTGAAAGGCGCGATTACGTAATGTCGAAGGGTCGTTGGATTTTATAAACACACTAGAACTGCACATGGTAGGATCAATAGAGAAAATTCTGCCATATTATAATTTTATTAAACTGTTGTTACCCCGGTAGTTATTACCTGATTCTTATCATTAGCACCTTCAAAGTTTGGCTTCTCGGCGTGTCAATCATTAAGTCTCGAGGTACACAGTGCAATTAAGCATGGCGAACGGACGTGACACAGTGTTTAAATTTATTTTATATTTATTTTAAATAAAAGAAATGGAGTATTTACGCATTTTATTCATAATAAAACAATGCATGCATTGAGAGAAAGTTACTTGGATAAACAGTAATCATAATGAGGTATTGTCCGCAAGCTCAATCGCCATGCTTAATTGCACTGTGTACCTCGAAGCACTAGATGATTGACACGCCGAGAAGCCAAACTTTGAAGGTGCTAATGATAAGAATCAGGTAATAACTACCGGGGTAACAACAGTTTAATAAAATTATAATATGGCAGAATTTTCTCGATCGATCCTACCATGTGCAGTTCTAGTGTGTTTATAAAATCCAACGACCCTTCGACATTACGTAATCGCGCCTTTCAGTGTACATGTACTTATGTAAAAGCTTCGAACACACACAAAAAAATATTTTGAAATCTTTCAGCGCACAATAAATTTTAGCGTTCAGGGGCTCTTGCGCCAAAGGCGCTAAAATTAGAAGTGGGCCAAATATTCTCGTTTTACATTATTTGTTTTACAGAAAATTATAATCTCCAATTTATTATAAACTCAAGTTTTTATGCTATTATATATTTAATCATGTGATCAAGTTTGAGCCAATCAGACAGCTTGGAATAAATTATAGAAATAATATTAAGGAATATTGTGTCTCCTTTATCAATATAGGCCTATCAACTAATTGTTCAAGTTGCACATTAAGTATAAAACAATTCATATACATGTATATAATAGATTTATAAGTGCATGAAAAAAAAGATAATTACTTTTGTATACATGTAATTAAATAATTTAAAAAGTTCATTATTTATAATTTACTTTACCGTTTATTACAATGATAAACAGGCTGCTTCACTTGGTAACGTTATGTACACAAATGGGCTCCTTACAGTTTTACATTGTTATGCATACAAAAGTGTGACCAAAAGAAGGAGAATGTCTTCCTTCTGCCTGAAATATCGGGATCAAATGAATAGGGAACGGACTATATTAAATTCTCTTTGACGAATGTCATGAAAAAGAAAACAATGTCATGATTTTCGTTTGTGCATTTTTGTGCTCGTATATAAATATATATTTCTGCAAGTACATGCAACAATTAATTATATTATTTGTGTAACTGAGCACAAAGAAGAACGATCAAGTATAAAATTCAACCACGTTAAAATTTTGAAATGGGTAGATTTCACTTTATAATTTAATTAAAAAAAACTACTTATATGTAATTACAGTGCATGGAAAATGAGGTTAACATTTATGCAAAATTTTAAAACCACTGAATACCACTGACAACAAAGAAGCACATGGGAAACGCAATCAACGGACTTGCGTAAAACAATGAGATACTGCCGACCTGTTTTTAACAACTTCCGCTAATGAGTTATCGTTCTTTATATCGAACCCTAGCGGCAGTACAGTCAAATCAATACATAGCAATCACTGCGGGTATGACCTGGTAACAGGGGATGCTTTATCCTCTTAGGCCTGATCCAACATCTTGGAGGTAGCCCTTTTCCTTCAGTCTTATTATTTACGAACAAGTCTTGTGCCTTTAAAGAAGACGATAATTTGCAATACTGTAGGCCTATATCACTGAATTTTGTGACCCCTTATTTTTGCGAAATTGTCATCGCGTGGAGCCTGAGGTCCACGCAAAAAATATATAAGCGAGGTTAAACTGGATGTCCTGGGCAGGCTACGCATGCGCGAGAATGCTAGAGAGTTCACCCCTTAGACAATATGACCATAGAATAATAACCGGAAATCCAGAACAGATGACAAGTCCCAGCCGTTATGGGTTATTTGTATCAAAATAGCCTGATTTTTAAAAATGACAAAACTGTGGGCTAATTGAACATAAACTTTAACAAATTTACTATGAAAATATAAACTATCAGTCATAGTAGGCAGATCATTGTAGAAAATGTGAACGAACCTACATGAATATTCACCAAACCTAGATCGAAATTTTCTTTAATTGAATTTTGGTTAGAAACACAAACATATGGTCCACGTTACCACGTATTGTAGTCTTTTTTTAAGGACAGCAACTTGTTAACTTTTTGTAAGTGGGAATAATTTTCACGAATTATAGTTATTGCTCTATAAAATCTTAGTTTTTATTCTCGCCAGCACATTTTCTCTCGTAATTACGAGAAAATAGAGTTCTCGCGAAAAATTGATTTAAAATAATTGACAATTTGAAAAAAAACTTAAGTGCCCGTCATGTGATTAAAAATTACAATCGATTTCCCGAAATGCGTTATTATAATTTCTTATTAAACTTTGTTCATGAATTAGCCCTACTTGCATAAATGTCCATAAGTTGAGACCAAGACAGCTTAACTAAATTGAATGCATTAAGATTTGTATTAAAAGTCTACGCAGACTAAACATAACCTCTTGATAATTTCAGTAAAACATGAATATTTTAAGGATTGTTGGAAATTACCTGTTTTTAGGTAATTAAAATCAATTTCAATTTCTTCATTCCAATAAGTTTGTTGGTTGTAGATCATATTTTGTTTGACCTTTAGATTCTAACTCAGACTTATTATTCGTAGAGACGGATTTTATGGCAGGCAAAAACATGAATGCATGAAATATAATGCTACCACAGTATAAGTAGGTTCCTACTTCTAGATTTATTTAAATCTCACTGTAATTGTAATACAGGCGACACTTGCAATAATTGGGACACACTTGTTGGATATTTTAATGGGTTTTTTTGTTCCTTAAATTTCATTATGCATACAAAATATATTTTTTTCTGGAGATTTTGATAGATGGACGGATTGATGGATGGATTTGAAAGACAAATATTTTGCTTTAGCAATTAAAAAAAACCTGTCAAAATTCTTTTTTTATTATATTCGTAGCAAACTGTAGTATTTTTGCATCCAATTCGATTAAGCGAGAATCTACATATGAAGTGGTCGATAGTTTTTTTTTTTTTTTTAAGAATATTAATTTCTTTTAGGAAAATATCGTAATGTCGAGTTTGGCTTCCTACGTTTCAAGGCAGATTATATTTAAAGTGATTTTATTCACTTTTAGCTGTATCAACGAATAAAAACACAATTCTTTAAAAAAGAATGTTTATTAGACAGTGTCTTTTTTGTTAATATATAAAACTATATAAAAATTCTCTTTAGAGATTCGAAAAACAATTATTGTGTTAGCTCCCATAAGATATTTCCTGATTTTCCCCGTTATTTCCCGATCCTGAAAAGGAGCACACATCGGGTTTGACCGATCGACAGAGAATGCTCACTCCCCCATGACACCTTATCCCACATTTGATGAATGTAGATCCGCGTTTGCTCTGTTCCTATTAAGTATTGCTTAATGGCCTTTTGAGCTTGAACTTTGTTCGTTATTCCCATACAATCTGTTTGACATCTGAAAAGTATATTTATTTATCCTGGTCTAATTTACATTTCTTAGATTGAATGTTTGATAAGCTAAAATCTCCCCGTTTTAAATTCATGACAATTAAAAAAATCATTTTGCAAAGAAGGAAACTTTATCTTGTGCCAAAATCTCTGAGATATGAAATAAATTATTAAGAAAAGATTTAAAGTTATGTAATTTGCTGCAAGTATTATTGTTTCATTAAAATTCGTGGGCATCAATTTTCGTGGGTTTATTAAAAATCACCGTAGGACACGTAATTTCATGGATAATTATCATAAAACCAATGCACACGCGGGTGCTAAAATAGAAAAAAAAACTTGGAATGGCCTAACAACTTAACATAGATATTTTCCTCGATATTTTCATCTAAATTAACGAAATCTTTTTTTCCTTCAGGAGAACCGAATGACTCTGGAAGAAATGAAAATTGTTTACAAATTTGGTATAGAAATGCTACTTATCTTTGGAATGACATCTCTTGTGACAGTAACATCAATGGCGGATACATTTGTCAGAGTGAGTGACGGTATTTTTGTACAATGTATACAAATAAGAGATTATTATAATAACACAAACAGATATGGGATCCAGGACTTACAGTTGAATAACTGCTTGCTTTAATTTCAAAACCTCTTTCAATCGCACTTTAAGTGAATATCATTACAAGACTCATCTATATAATTCCAATCTTAATTTTATTTATTGATTCCCTGTGTTTTGATTGGACGAGAACAAATTCAAGAAAAAGTTTACACATCGATGAATTTTTCAATCAGAACTACTTTCTTAACCTAGCTTCTAAGCTGTTGTAAAAACAATGAAAACAGATACTTTTAGTCCGTTTTAGCTAAATTATTATAACAAGAAACTTGAAATTAAAAAAAAAAGCAAAAAAGGAGATAAACAGGACTAACAGACGAGAATATCATGTTTATGTAACTGTCGGATCACGAGTGTGAATTTTAAAAAATCGCTGTCATGTTGTCATTTTCTCGACGTTCCATATCAGCTCAGTTGGTATCGTTGTGATAGGGAAAAGAAACGTACCTCGGACTCTTGCCTTGTCAGCATCAAATTTATATATTTATATCCTACAGATCCCATATTCTCCCTAAATCTTTGAACGAACCAGAGCAAATCGAGGACGTCGTCGGTCTGCAACTTTCGCTATGAGAGTTAAAAATTGTCGTTAATGTCAACATGGCCATGGTCAAGGACGAATTATTCTGGAGAATACGCGTATTTTTGATATTTGTTGACTTAAACAACATTCAATGAGTCTTTTTAAGTTTATTTATTGATTGTTTTGACAATTTAAGTTGGATTTTATCGCTATCCATCTTGTATACGTTTCTTTGCTGCATAAAGTATTCCTACGCCGTACAAAATAACGGATTGTATGGCGGCCTCAAAGAGAAATGATTTTAATAATTTTAAAAATTTAATTGGAATTATAAGAATTAAACGTTCTTTTTTCAGAATTTATCGATGTGTAAACTCTGCCTTTTTACTCACAAACTTTACATAAAAGTGCTTCGCACTTTTATTCAGTTTGTGAGTAAAAAGGCAGAGTTTACACGTCGATAAATTCTGAAAAAAGAACGTTTAATCCTATAGTAAACAGTAAAATATCACCCTTCCATATTTCATTTTCCTTTCGGTCGTTTTAACCAGTTAAACAATAAGTTTATCATAACGCAAGGATTTATCATTGATAGAGTTAAAGAGTGGAGTTAAAATTTTATGAATGTTCACATACGGATGCGAGATTTCTTTGATTGAATTTGAATAAGAATAAAACAAATTTTAAACAAAACGAAAAGAAAGCATTGGTATAATTTGATTTTAATGAATGAAGGAGGAATTTTCTGTCTAAAATCATGTCTTTTAAATGATGTTTTCCCGTCAAGGTACAATAGAGCCGTATTGTGATGACTTGAAACACAAAGAACAACGAGGAGATTGTGAGCCAAATATTGAGAAGATTGATAAAGTGGTATCTTTGAATATATAGTATATTTAGAAATGCAGCTTGCTTTACAAATGTCAGTTTGCATAAAAACGTTTAAACGTAGAATAACTAATAATATCATTGCCTCAGTAAAATAAAAAAATAGACCAGTTTGATTTAAATCCTAGAATGAATCTAGAAAATAACTATAATAAAATTAAAGTCTCTGTATCTTTAAAAAAAATAATCCAGGTTGATTCAGTTCTTAGAGGAAATCGGTCAAAGAAAAACATCGAACTGACAATTGAGAGGGCACTACATAAATTACGAGATATTTCCATCAGAAAAGAATCTACTCCTAAGGATTTGGACACCTCAATAAACTTGTTAAATAAAATTGTGAATGTCTCTAGAGGATTGAATGTCTCAATTCCAAGGACGGTATTTTCATTTTTCATTTCGCTAATTAAAAATATATTATAAAATCCCTCCTTTATCTTGTCATTTCCTCAGATTTTACACATTGATCACATTTAGGTGATTGTGGCGACAATTGACAACCTTCTTGCTGACAACCATACTGGTGTATGGCAGAACACGTCCACAAAAGAGGTTATTATGATTTTTGTAAGTTAGGTTTAGTATGAAAATTTTCTAAACCTAACA